ATATATATATATATATATATATATATATATATATATATATATATATACATATATACATATATATACATATATATATATATATATATATATAATGTATATATATATAATGTATATATATATATAATGTATATATATAATGTATATATATAATGTATATATAAATATAACTATATGACATATATTATAATGATGCTTGGTAATATAGGATACCTAAATAGAAATATTGTAATTTCTCAACTATTTCCAACATATTTTTTGCATCATGCTGTTTCTAACTTGTATCTCTATTGAGCATATTGTTTGCTTTCCACAAACAACCAGTTCATTTTTCAAGGATTCAAGTTTGTGCATGGAAGCGTAAAACAGCAAAAGATTATTAAAAATGTTGGCTAGATTTGTTAAATGAGAAACAATTTTTGGAAAGCATATTATTGTGCAGTTTTTGAGTATTTAACAATTTAACTAATAACGCAATTTTTGAGTATTTAACAATTGATTTAAATTCATACAATGTAAAATATAATGAACACAATTATTACTAGCTTGAGCACCCCATTGGTAACTTTAATCTTAACATAACTGCAACCAGAACTTAAATATAGTGGCCACAAGCGCGTTGAAAAGGCCTATGGTAGAGAACGTACATATAAGGCCCGCGCAGTATGCTAATTTACCCAGAGTTACTGCAGTTAACTAGAGCGGCAACTTGGCTGTGTTACTAAACATGGCAATTTTTAAAGTACTTTGTTTGATTGGGTTTGTGCTGTTAAGTTCTGGCTATGCCCGTAAGCATGAAGCTAGGCATGGCTCGCGGTTTCGTCAAGACTACGGTTTCCACAGGTATAAGCACATCTTGAAACGACATGGAAGTGTGGACGGGAATCCAAATTATGGAGGATCCACTCAACGAACGAGTACAGGTGTTGCCGAAGTCCGGACGAAAGGTAATGATAACTACAGATGTCTCATGATTTTAGTCACATATGTGATGAATGTTTCCAAGTCTATAACTACAGGGCCCAGTTTTTCGAATAGTAACACTACATCAATAAGAAATTATTCTTACTGGACCTTTTGAAAGAACGGATAGACAAGAACTCTTGTCAAGTTATATTCACAATTAAAAGCTTCCAACAAAAATTTCCTTTTTTCCTTCAACAGGAGCTCTTGAATTTCTTCCAAGCTTCGAGACATTTCAGTCAGGAGAGATTAATGGCGGAGTTGAATTTAAAGTAACCGAGGATTGTAGTGTTACCGTCAGTAAGACTGCAACCCTCTACCAATTTGGTTCAAACCCCCCTGATTGTGTGAACCTTGCGATCTTGCTGGATTTCGTCCTTCCTAATGGCAAAGCTAACTTCGAATTCGACAATTTCATGACCCTCGAGCGTATTATCATTAGGACGTTTTCCTTGGATACCGCCACAAAACAAGTGGATATCGCTGCAGCTTACACCGGCACGGCAACGCTTATCAAGAACATTCTCACAATGTCTAATCTTCGTGTGGAGTTGTCATTCGTCTGGGCTCAGTCACAAACATTTACGTTTGATATCAGTGGGACGTTTTCCATCGGGAACGTACCAGTTGATGTGAGATTGATTCGCAATGAGGAAGGTAAATGACACTACCACCACCTTATTAACCATTATCACTCCCATCGTTATCATCACCATCGTTATCAGTATCATCATTATCATTGTTATCACCATCATCACATGATTATCATGCTATCGCTATGATCACCATTGCTATCATTATCATCGTTATCACCATCATTGTCATCGAATCCATCATCATAGTGTCGGTATAATCATCATCGCTAGCATCATTATCATCGTTATCATCATCATCACATTCATCATTATGGTGTTGGTATAATTACCATCGGTATCATCACTACTATCATTATTATCGCTATCATCATTATCGCTATCATCATCATCACATCTATCATCATGGTGTCGGTATAATCATTGCTTTCATCATTATCATCGTTATCATCATCATCACATTTATCATTATGGTGTCCGTATGATCACCATCGCTATAATTTTCATCGTTATCATCATCATGGTGTCGGTATAATCATCACCACTATCATTATCATCGTTATCATCATCACATCCATCATAATGATGTCGCTATGATCACCATCGCTATCATCACCATCATTATTATCCTTATCATCATCATCACATCCATCATGATGTTGATGATAGCGATGTTGACGATGATGTTGAGAGTGATTGATGATGGTGATTTTCAATATCCTTTTCTCATAACTGGTATCTTTTCCCAAATCTTCCTTTATCCATCACTTTCGTAGTCTACCACGTCGTTTTCCATCTTCATTTCTTTCTATTACCCATCGTATGATGTGTGTGGATCTCGTCATCTCCCTCGATCAGTAAACAGACTTTCGCATTCTTTCCTTACATGTAATTCCTCCTTTTGTGTAATGTCTGCTGTTGCCTTAGCTTCCGTCACTTCCAGTTTTGTTGACTCGTCCATTCAACAGCGACCAAGTTACCCTGACCATAGTTAATAGAGAAGATGGTTTGGAAACTCATTAGCATTACAATAAACCTCACTATCTATGTTTTTGTTCAGGTTTATGCAAAAATGTGGTCTTTCATCGTCACGTGCGTATTGTGTTTTTGCTCAACCAGCCAATAGCAACGGTTTTGTCCAATTGCCCATTCATGACTTTAACAATAGGACATTTTGAACATTCCTATTGGTTGACTTGAGAAAAATACAATACACACGTGACGATGAAAGACTACATTTTTGCATAAACCTGAACACATAGATAATGAGGTTTATTGTGATTTTATTGTAATGCTAACGAGTTTCCAAACCATCTCTATTAACTATGCCCTGACAAAACTCTAACAAACTTTTCTTTCCATTTCAAGGCTACAACTTTGCCGCTACGGTTACTGGGAACTTGAATGCTGCAGCGATTAGTAGCATGTTCAAACAAGAGGGTTCGTTTCTACCATCGACCAGCCTGGACGGCCCGCTAAAGGAAGCGAAGTTTGACAAATTCGAGGTGATAAAGCCTCGGATACAAGCTATATTTGCCGATGGATATGGCTTCCTGTTTGGTGGGTCTATTCGAATTCTGGATTGGGATCTTTTTGATGTCAACATACTCATCAACAAACCCAACGATTTGCCAACGACTGTCACGATTGCCGTCTTTACCAAAACCTTTTCGATCTCGAAAATGTTTAAAGATCTTTTTAAAATGGATATAAGCGATGTTCCAGTTCTGGGCAGCGCTGTAGTGCGAAATCTCGCCTTGTCTCTGTCCACGGGTGATGTCGACACGCCACTGACGGTATTGGATATTGCTGACTCGGACGACATATTTGAAGTACCATATAGTAAAGGACTGAAGGTCAGTGGTAACTATTATTTTAATAAATTTTCTATTTTTTATTATTTAAATATATTATTAAAATTATTATTTAATTTATCATCAAGAATTCAATTATTATTTGTTAAAATATTAAATAAACTATAATTTATCATTACTTTTTTAAATTTGATGAATAAATTTTTAAGCCCATCTCATGCAAAGAGCGACTGAGGATCTGATCGTGGTCTTATGTAAAGAGCGACTAGAAACAATGTAACCGAAACGACTGAATCACCCCGTTCCTTGTCTCATTTAAACAATCTCTTGCTTTTTAGTTTACCCTTTTTCGGTGGCTGACTGGGTTCTGATCGGTTTTTAAAACATAACCTCTGGTTTCCCTTTAGGTGTCCTTCGAAATTCCAATCGCGGAAATTTACGTCGCCACTTCAATTTTAATTTCCCCAACTCTCATAACTCTCACGATTTCACAAAGCGGCGAACTCAACCTTGGTCATGTTGTACGCGAATTCGTGCCCAACAGCAACCTCATCGTAACAACAGAAGGCGAAACGAAACTTAAGAATTGGCCACAGTTTATCCCCGATCCACTGTCGATTGCCCTGGTGTCTTTCCATTTGGAAGCCAGCAAACCGACCGGCAGTTGGGCTTTAACGACAATGAACATGAAACTTAAGATGACGGATGTAATCTCCCTGTTTAATAATAAAATCCACTTTAGCGATCTTGAGTTGGACCTAAACTATGAAAAAGGAAATGATCCTTCGTTCTATGGAGTTGTCTTAGGACGCGTTTCCTTGGGGCCTAAAGCTACTCCGTCCCCCACAGTAGACGTCCGTATTCCGTTTCCGTTTAAAAACGATGAGATATCCTTCACCTTTACTGACTTTAATGTTAAAAGTGTCGTCGAGGCCTTAGCGGGTCGTGATGTTTTCCCGAAAGATTTTTCTGAGCTATTCGAGAGCATACAGTTAGATAGTATTGCCATAGCATTTGATGATCAGGGATCGCTTAGTACAATTTCGGTGGATGCCAGTATACCAGGACTATGGCCTATTTTTGGAGATATTTCAATAGGGAATGTGGCAATACATTTTGAATATGGAAAGGGGACGGCTGGTGATGATGGTGCTGGCGAATCCAGCTCCGGAAGCACATGGCGTGTTGTTGTGAGCGGGCAGATTGTCATTGCATCATGTACAATTACGATAGAAGCCGATCTCGGAACCGATCTTTTTAGCTTGTCCGCCGAGGGTGCCGAATGCTCTGTTTCCGTTGGCGATGTCTTGGAAAAGATTGGTCTAAATAGAAGAATGCTGCCGTCCATGATTTCTGGGTTTACGATCTCCGATCCGAAACTGCGCGTCATGTGGCAACGAACTGGAGACAATGCCGGTTCAAAGTCAATTGCATTTGCAGCAACGACAAATCTTTTCCGCGAAAGTCAGGTATGTACGAAAAGACATGAGTTTTTATTTGTTTTCTTTTATGTAAAACATGACGTATATTTGTGTTTACAAAGCAAAATTGAAACCCACTAGTGTATTGTATCAGTATTATTATTAATAGTAGTATAAAGGATGGAAACAGATAAAGGTTCTTATCCTTTAGGTCGAACTTGCATTGATACGTCATGGTGGAAGAACCGCTGTGATCGCTGGTTTTGCTGTGCAATCTGATGCAATTTCGGAAATAAGCTTCTTGAATTCACTTGGTTTGTCAGATGTTGCTGTGGTGTTTGTCAGCGAGAGGATACCTATCTCGCCGTACGAGTTCATTAATCCATCGTTCCAAAGTTATATTCCAGATATACCGGAATTTCGGGGAATTACAATCTATGCAAGATTTGTGCCGAAAGCTGACAATATGCTGGGGTTTATGTTGCGTAAAGGTAGGTGATAGTAAGGATGGTGGGAAAAAAAATAATGCCTTTGTTTTGTTTACCGGTGCTACGATTTATTTCAAATATTTATCACTGAATATTGCATGTAAATGCAAATTTCGCAAGGCTATATTATCCGCATTTTACAACATTTCGCAACGAAATTGTGGAATATTATTAATTTTGTGATGCTCTTTCAAGCTGTGATGAAATTTTTGTCTAGACTTGTTTAAATCAAAATTTAGTCTACAATGCAAATGGTCCAAACTTCGACAAAAACCTCTCCCTTGTCCTTTATATAACACTCCAACTAATTCCATTATATATTCAGGAATAGAAAAGGACGGCGACCTTGAGGCAGGCGGAGGCAATGAGCCTGAAATAATTGTGAAAATTTCCTTTCCCGCACTTGTATTTGAGTTGGAGATAAATCTGGGCTCGGACGGTCTTCAAATTGGTGACGTTTCTGGATGGCGATTAACTTATATGAAGTTAATAATCAGCAAACGACTTATTGGTTTGTCGCTTCAATGCAAGGTCAATATGGATAACAAGAATCCAGATTCCATCGACTCCACCTTTACTGGCGAAGTGACGGTAAGTTTATATACGTTTGGGAGAGGTTATCTTATTGTCAGTCGACCGCGACTAAAGGGCAAACAAATTTCAGTCGGTGCAATCGTCAATGAACTGCTTCACCAACCCACAGTCCATCCACAAGCGAATGACAGCATAATCGCAACTTCGTCGTAGCCCAGTCGCAACTAAACAGCTTCGGCTTTTAATAACACGACCACCAAGAGTGGAGAACTATCTAATATAAATAAAGTTCATTTAGTTTAAGTTTACTTTTGTAGTAACTCTAGTCTATAAACTGATGGCCCTTGTTGGAATGAAGAAGAACACGGTTTAGAACTTATACAGCTACTAGAAATTCATGCATGCACCAACCCCTTGCTTTTTCTTAAAAGAGTGGTTATAATTCCAAACTATTGCTTCAGCAAGAAGTATTTCATCATTAGAAACAACAATAGTTTCTATAGTAACAAAAAAACATTTTTAATTTTATAAACTACAAAATTTTTGAATTCAACAAAAAGACAAAAGAATTTTAAAACAGGGATAAAATTTTTAACTGTAGAATCATTGACTTTTAAATTCTAGAATGTATAGTTATGCCTTTTATATACGGGATAATCAATGAATACATACACCAACAAAACACGCCATAAAAGAACGGGAAAACTCACCATCACTCCATCAGAACAACTTTCCCCAACGACAATAGCGGGGCTTTTCGGAGCCAAGTAAGATGGAGTTTTGAAGGGCTTATTGCTGATCTCTACCTGGGTTTTTTTTACCTATACTAAAGCACATTATTTTTTCTTATCCACAGTTCACTTTCACTGGTACAATCACTATATCTCTACTCTGGGAAGGCGAGTGGAACAATCCGTTTGGAATAAGTAGACGTTTAACTATCCGTCGTATGGGCTTGGCTCTTGGTATAAATCTTGCTACTTTGGTTCCGAGTTTTGGAATAACGGGTGCAATTAGTGTGGACGTTCCCAGTGAGGCTGGTAAACCACCAATCGATATAGAGCTGACCCTATGTATTGATCCATCAGCTCCAGACCAAACCGTCTTTGATCTCCATTTTACACGACTTCTACTCGAAGACCTGATTAATCTCTTTGCTGGCAAGGTAGTAAAATTGCCGAAAAAGTTGGCGGAGGTTGGCTTCCCCGATCAGGTTCAAATATATTTCTCCCTTTCAGGAAATCCTAATTGTTTCGGTAAAAGGTAATTAATTAAGTTCAATTAGTAAAAGCCAGTGACCTATTTGGAAAGTGCATTCGCACTTTTTCCTAATAACGTTAGTTCTGTGTTTGCTGAAACCATTCACCGATAAAACAATTATGACTCTTCTCGATTACAGGTATGATCCTGGAGTCGAGATCCATGGCACGATCCAGATTCCTTTTCTCAAAATTCGAGCCCGTATCGATCTTAGTATTGCCCTTCCACCATCGTCATTTAGACTTGAAGCGAGTCTGGAGCTAGATCCAATCATCTACCTTGGTGGTCTTATTAAGGTGGTCGACGCTGATACTGATAGCAAAGGAGCACACATGAAAATGCGTATAACTGAAAATTTAGCTGATTTGATGATTGATGGCTCTTGCAGGGTAAGGCAATTAAGTCACTAATTAAGGTAGTAATTAGCTTTTAGGAAATTAATAATGTTACTAAGTAACTAACAAAATAATTAGGGTGCAAATTAATTTTGTTATAGACTAATTTATGTTCTAGTGATATTTTCTGTGTTGGTGTAGTGTACTCAGGTGAATAAGATGCTTGTGGTGTTTTCAAGCCTGCCCGGTGTGGATATACACTCAGAGTAACATCACAAGCATCTTATTTTCTAGTCATTTTAATGATCGTTTAATTATCATTTTAATTAACTTACTTAATTTACAAGCTAACTCGCTCACTGTAACTGTCTTAGTAGTAGCAAGCTAGGCTGCCTAATCACGTAACTATCTAATTAAACATTAAACTAATCAATTAACGCAACATATCTATTATTTTCCCCAGATTGAAATCTTTGGTGCGATGATTTCGGTGAAATTACAAATAGATAGTACGAAATTCTTCTTCGAGGGCAAATTGAATCTATGGAATTTGTTCCAAGTATATCTCTTGGTCGATATCTCGTTGGTCAGTACATCGCCTAGCCTCCATGTTATTGGGGAAATGCAGAACGACCTGTTTGCCAAGATCAAGGAGAAAGCTACTCAAGCGATCCGAGCTGGCGCTAAAGCTGTAAACGCGAAGATCGAAGGAGCCCAAATAAAGATCAGAAATGCTCAACGCGAGGTTGACAAACTTTATAACTCCATAAAGTAAGTTTGCGTCGATCATGATTGAAAACGCATTTATTAAAACAATCGTATTTGGGTTGAATATAAGTGAATACTGAAGCTAAACTGAGTTTACTGACGCTGGATAATTCGATCTGTCATTTCTAAACTATTTGGGAAGAGGTTCAGTAGCCGTCTATTACGTTTTAACTAAACTGTTTTTCCTAGAGGTTCAGTATAAGTATCACCTCTTATTAATCCAGTGTTACTGCAGGAGGAAACCTAAACTAAACTAACTTTATTTATACTGTATAGTTCTATCAGTTTTAAATTGTTTTTCCTAGAGGTCCAGTAAGGATCATCTCTTATTGATCCAGTGTTACTGCAGGAGGAAACCTAAACTAACTTTATTTATACTGTATAGTTCTATCAGTTTTAAACTGTTCTTCCTAGAGGTCCAGTAAGGATCATCTTTTATTGATCCAGTGTTACCACAGGAGGAAACCTAAACTAAACTAACTTTATTTATACTGCATAGTTCTATCAGTTTAAACTGTTCTTCCTAGAGGTCCAGTAAGGGCGATCTCTTATTGATCCAGTGTTACTTCAGGAGGAAACCTAATTATACTCAGAGAACTGCATATTGCAGGAATCAAAATCCAGCCCCTGAGGTGATAGACGCATGCCCTGGCCACTGTGACACCAACATACCTTAGCGATCATTTTATGTCTTAGTTACCACAAACGGAAGATCGAGGATGCAAAAAGAGAGTGCCGCAACGCACCATGGTACAAGAAATACATCTGTATTGGAACTGCAGGTAAACTAATCTATCATGGTGCTATTATTGCTGGATTGTGGATTGCACATGGCGTTGCCACACTTGTTCTGAAAGCTGCCGACTTCTTTTTGGAAGGCGTGAAAGGTATTATCAAGGTTAGTGCTTATCATTTAATATTTCTGAACGATAATACTGATGAATATTCATAAACGTGCTGAAAAATATAACAAGTAGTCATTTATAATGTTCGTGCAGTATTGTAGTTAAATCCGCCAACCAAACTCGTAACCATGGTTACACGCTACATCGCAACGCAAGATCTTATTGTGGATTTCAACTTCCTTTTCACTAAAATGCTCCGAACTTCGCAAATTTGTTCCAGAGTTTAAAGTGGAAGTCTAGTCCGTAATGTAAACAAACGGTTTGTTTACATTTTGAACTGCTGTATTTTTTAAAATATGATGTACTGTCTGAATATCTAACACCATTTCGGTTCGTTATTCTTCTAAATGAATATGAAATAGAGTTTATGTTCAGAAAAATTCGAAGTTTGGGCAATGTTCACATTAGAGGTCCTCACATTGTTATGAGCAGAACTGATGCGCAGAACGGACTTGACTTCCCCTTTAAGAGCTCATAATGAAGTTCACAAATCGGTTTGTAAACTGAGGATTTGATTAGCTGATTTGATTTAGTATATTCGCAAATTTGTTGCAAAGTTCAAAAGTTCATAATGAAATTAACAGGCAGGTTTGTAAACAAAGCCTCTGAATTTCATTATGAACTTTGCAACGGCGAAGTTCGGAACACCTTAGTGCAAAGGAAGTTGAAATCGACAATAACTAAGGGATATAGAAACGTTTTTGACGTTTTGAGCATAGGATCTTGTAACTTAGTCTAAGCTAGCATCCACAATAATTTCATCATCTGTAATAATGATAATCCATCAATAGCAAGTTTTAACTGCAGGTTGGCCATTTGCCGCATGATGTTGCGATGATGATAACCAACCTGTACCGTACGGAATTTAACTCTATAGTCTCAAATATTAAAAGCTTCTTTTTCCTATGTTCTGATTTAATCAGTTCTTATTTTCTGTTATAGGTTGCAGCATGGGTTCTTGAGAAGTTGGTGAATGCGGCATTGAGTATCATTGATATTCAATATGTTAGATTTGAAGTTAGGATGGATGGGGTTACCAAGATATTCGATTTTGTAAGTAATCCAACTGACCTTATTTATACTGGATAGCTCTGTTAGTTCTAAACTGTTCTTGACAGACGTCCAGTAAGAACCACCTTTATTGATTCAGAGAACGTAGATTTAACTAACTTTATTTATACTGGATAGCGCTATCAGTTCAAATGTTCTTCCTAAAGGTCCAGTAAGGATCATTTCTTATTGATCCAGTGTTACTACAGGAGGAAACCTAAACTAAACTAACTTCATTTATACTGGATATCTCTATTAGTTCTAAACTGTTCTTCTTAGAGGTCCAGTAAGGGTCATCTCTTATTGATCCAGTGTTACTACAGGAGGAAACCTAAACTAAACTAACTTCATTTATACTGGATATCTCTATTAGTTCTAAACTGTTCTTCTTAGAGGTCCAGTAAGGGTCATCTCTTATTGATCCAGTGTTACTACAGGAGGAAACCTAAACTAAACTAAACTTTATTTATACTGGATAGCGCTATCAGTTCAAATGTTCTTCCTAGAGGTCCAGTAAGAATCATCTCTTATTGATCCAGTGTTACTACAGAAGGAAACCTAAACTAAACTAACTTCATTTATACTGGATATCTCTATTAGTTCTAAACTGTTCTTCTTAGAGGTCCAGTAAGGGTCATCTCTTATTGATCCAGTGTTACTACAGGAGGAAACCTAAACTAAACTAACTTTATTTATACTGGGATAGCTCTGTCTGTTTTAAACTGGAGTTCCAGTGAAAGTCTTTATAATTTGGGGAAGTTTAATAAATAAAAACAATGATTTGTCATTGTTTATAGAAAGCAAGAATTGTTATTATGGGATGGACCTTTACTCCAGAATTCCGCATCGACTTCAGCAGCTCAAAGAAAGCCAACAGCGGTATCAACTCCGCCGGCCAATCAATCTCTGATAAAACCATGGCCAAGGTCAAGAAGTAAAGCAACTATCTGGAATTTTTTTGCGACTTTTTTTTTCACCAGTTGAGAAGTCGCATGGAGTGATGTGTGCATGGTATTTCATTATTTAACTTATATTTCTTTCATTAAAAGAGTTTACTGTTTTGTTTATTATTAAATCAACAGTATATTAATCTATTTAATATATAATTATGTCAATTTAAGTATTTTTTGTTAAGAATAATAAATATATTCATTTTAAAATATCAGACATTTGACTTTGTCTTCGTAAAATAATTAAATCTCTACTTAAAACATATAAGTCAAATTAAATTATTCTGAAAACATAACCAAAACTAAAATAACATGATTTATGCTAGATATAGTTCTATTTGTCACGAAATGTTGTCCTATATGTAGAGATCGAGCTCGAATAAAGCCATCCCTTATTGATCCAGTTTGCCAATGTTATACTACAGGGGAAAGGTGGGGGACAGTGAACTTGTGGGGATTATTTCAAACACCTTTCTACCACACTGGTCGCCAGTCTTCAATTAAGGCATTAAAAACTCAATCTTTCTCCGCAATTAGAGTTTTCACAATAATCAATATGCTCTGAAGAAATTGTGGCAAATGAATAATTAACTGTAAAAGGAAGAAGGCACTCGTTGTATATTCAACACGCCATTAAAAAACCTGTTTTAGAACGGTTCTATTTTCGCTCAGCAGTGCCGTCTGAATGTGCGACATCTTATTCATAGAGACAACATCAAAACTTAAACTTTTCTCCCAAAACGTGGGTAGCAGACTACATATACGAATCCCTATATGGTCTATAAGACTATAAGGTTTATTATTTGATATCTTACCTGAAGACTTTACTCTTTAGCTTCCATAAAGTATTTTGTGTGAAAAATTGTTGCTAAGGTATTTCCAGATCTTTTCTTCGTTTGATAAAAGTAAAATAAAATACTAATACTTAGTCTTAGATACTAAAATGAAACTAACTTCAACAGTTGTTCCATCAAACAGTCGTTCCACTCAATGAACAGAACAGGTTAAAATGAGCACACACTGAAAATTGAAGTATTTTGAAAGTGTTAAAATATTTTCCATGTTGTGTTGCAATGGCGAAGGATTTTCACACACCTTTGTGAACAAATTTAGTGAGCCGTAAAATTTTGTAAAGTACTTTATTTTTTGCTGTTGCAAATTGGTGAAGTTGTTAACGTTTCCGCGTTTATTTCTACTTCATTCTTGAACTATACAGTTACTATATACAATACAAAAATAACTGGACTATTATAGCCAAATGATTTAGGCCCAAAAAATTGTAAAGCGTGAAGTATAGTATACTTGTATTCGATTGTAACATGTACATTCGTATTTATTATAATTACTTGTCAATTTTTTTGTGTTTATCCAGATGAATTTTGTAAGCTGACTGACTGTCTTTGAAAATGGTTTCTGTGTACGAACCGAAACGTCAGACAAAATAAAACTATTAATTAAATGTGAAAAAGATCTGGATGAACTCAAAAACAATTAAGAATATATATCCTGGATACAAATTATTTCAATAATTACTTGTATTAATTATATAATTACTTGATTAGTCTATAATTACTCCAAGTTTTTCGAAAGACAAATAAGATCGTCTTCCTCAAGATAAATTGAACTATTATTAGGTATTTATCATTAAATATAAAAGTATTAAGTTTGAGTTGGATAGCTGCAAAGTTGATCTTTTTAGCAAAACAAATTGTAAAATTTCTTCAAAAAATAGGACAAAAGTTTCGTTTGAGATAGTATAATGGTTGTCATGAGTTGCATTTAATAAGTGCGATAGTTTTAAATGTTTTAAATGCAATGCGCACTATAAAGAAATTCTGTCATAAATATTTGTTTTAGAAGATTATATTATAATAGTGAACAGATATTTAAATAAAAGTATTCATGTTTCAATGGAAATATTGGGAATTTTAAATCTGAAAATAGTTTAAAGGAAAACAATTTTTGCATCATGCTGTTTCTAACTTGTGTTTCTGTTTTGTCCTCGATCATCCTATTCATTAAATATCTCATTTGGTGCATGCAAGCGTATAGTCTTGATGAGATGAATGATTAAGCAATGCAAATACATTCATACATGCAATAACAAACAAATAGAATTTTCAAAGTATATTTTACTCCGTGCAATTTATATGAAATAGTCAAAAATGCATGCAACTCCAATAATAATTTCACTAAAATTTAAAATTAACCTTCAACCGTTCAACAATTAATTTTCTTTTGGAAACAGATTGAATATCGAATAATATTGATTCCAATGTAAATATTTTGTATAGGATATATAGCTATATATAATATCAACTACAACATCAGTATTTCTGTACAATGTGGCGCACTGAATCATACAAAAAACAAGTGCATCACTTAGCGCGTAACCATATCATTTTTTTCAATTTTTGCCGGCAGAAATATCAAAGCTTATATCATTCCGAACTAACTAACAAGCTACCAAACTAACACACTAACAAACTCACACAGCAAATATAAAGGAATGATTAAAGTATAGTGATGCCACAATAATGGTAATAAAATTTCTTACAAATGAACTAAAAATAATAATCTAAATTTCTATCACAAAATCTAGTCGGTCTTGACTCAACCAATGTATCATTTAGTCCATTCAACCATTTATACAATTTTAGCACCCTCATATTAACCATAAAACTAACATAACTGCAACCAGTAATTGAATATACTGGCCACAAGTGACTTAAAGTGTCCCATGGTGGAACGCGCGCATATAAAGGTCGCGCAATATGCTAATTCGCCCAGAGTTACTGCAGTTAACTAGAGTGGCAACTTGGCTGTGTTACTAAACATGGCCATTTTTAAAGTACTTTGTTTGATTGGGTTTGTGCTGTTAAGTTCTAGCTATGCTCGAAAGCATGGGTTTAGGCATGGCTCGTTCCGTCATCACCACGGTCTTCACAGGTATATGCACATATTTAAACGGCATCTGGGCGCGGACGGGATTTCTCGCGAAGGAGCAGGCTCAAAAAGGTCAGAACGGGTCGAGGAATCTTCGCATAAAGTAAGGCAACAAAACAGAAATCGGAAGCAGATTCCACTAGTATATTCCGAGGGAGGATCATATGAAGTGGCCGAACAAGGATCAGAAAATCCCAACAAAGATAAAGGAAATGGAAAGGTTAAAAATCCGAACCATCCAAACGAAATAAATGTTAATACTCTCGGTACTGAAACATCTGAGAAATCCGGGTCTAACAAAGTTAGGAATGAACCTGAGAAAGAAAGCTCGAACAGACCTGAGAATGGAGAGTCTACCCAGCCTGGGAATGGTGAGTCCACCCAGCCTGGGAATGGAGAGTCTACCCAGCCTGGGAATGGTGAGTCCACCCAGCCAGCGAATGGAGGATCTAGTGAAGGAGGGAATCAAGGTGAGTCTTAGAACTGATAAAGCTATCCATTATATATAAAGTTAGCTTAGTTTAGATTTCCTCCTGTAGTGACACTTAAACAACACGCGATTTCTCTTACTGGACCTCTAGGAAGAACAGTTTAGAACTGATTGAGTCATCCATTACAAGTTGGTTTAGTTAGGTTTCCTCCTGTGGTAACGTTAAATCAATCAGAGTTGATCCTTACTCGACCTCTATAGGAAGAACAGTTTACTGATAGAGCTATTCAATATGAATAAGTTTGGCGTATTTGGCGTGGCTTATCAACTTGCATTCTTATCAACTTACACCCACATATAAAAACGTCTAACAAAAAATATTTTTTCCTTTCAACAGAAGAACTTGAACCTCTTCCAAGCTTCGAGAAATTTCAGTCAGGGGAGGTTAGCGACGAAAAGTCCTATAAAATAAACGATGACTGCAATGCTACCGTTAAAAACATTGAAAAACTTTACCAAATTGGTGCAAGCCCCCCTGATTGTATAAACCTTAAAATGTTACTGGAAAAGGTCTTACCTAAAGACAAAACTAACTTTGAATCGACCACTTTCATGGCCCTGGAGCATATTATTATTCGGTCTGTATCGTTGAATACCGCCACAAAAGGAGTTGAAATCGCAGCAGCTTATACCGGCACAGCAACGCTTATCAAGGATATTCTCACCGTTTCTAATATTCGTGTGGAGCTGTCATTCGTCTGGACTCGGTCACAGAAATTTACTTTCGATCTTGCTGCAACGTTTTCAATCGGGAGCGCACCAATTGATATGAGATTGATCCGCAATGACAAAGGTAAATGATTTCTATGTTAAAGTCTTTGAGCAATAGAGTTCTTCTATCTGTGTTAAGGCCAGTTAAACCACCACCATCGTATAACCACCATCATCATATAGCCACCATCATGTAACCACCATCATCGTATAACCACCATCGTCATATAACCATCATTATGGAACCATCATCATATAACCACCATCATCGTATAGCCACCATCATCATATAGCCACGATCATTATGTAACCACCATCATGTAACCACCATCGTATAATCACCATCATCATATTGCCACGGTCATTATGTAACCACCATCATGTAACCACCATCGTATAATCACCATCATTATATAGCCACCACCTTCATGTAACCACCATGATCGTATAACCACCATCATCATGTAACCACCATCATTGTATAACCACCATCATGTAACCACCATCATCGTGTAACCACCATCATCATGTAACCACCATCATCATGTAGCCACCATCATCATGTAACCACCATCATCGTATAACCACCATCTTCGTATAACCACCATCGTCATATAGCCATCATCATCGTATAACCATCATCATCGTATAACCACCATCATCGTATAACCACCATCATCGTATAACCACCATCATCATGTAACCACCATCATCATGTAACCACCATCATTGTATAACCACCATCATCATGTAGCCACATCATCATGTAACCACCATCATCATATAACCACCATCATCATCATGTAACCACCTTCATCGTATAACCACCATCATCGTATAGCCACCATCATCATGTTACCACCACCATCATATAACCACCATCCAGGTTTTTAATCTGTCCATTCACCAACGGTCAAGCCACTCTAACAAAAATGACACAAACTATTTCTTGTCATTCTAAGGCTACTACTTCACGGCTGACGCAAAGGATAATTTAACTGCCGCAACAATCAGTCGCATGTTCAAACGAGAAGTTTCGTTCCTACCAGCGCACTGCCTGCAAAGCGACCTGAAGAAGGCAAACTTCGACAAATTCGTATTGATAAAGCCTCGCCTACGAGCTACATTTGCCGACGGGTATGGCTTCCTGTTTGGTGGGTCCATTCGAATTCTGGATTGGGATCCTTTTGAAGTCAACGTACTCTTCAACAAGCCCAACGATTTACCAACGACTGTCACAATTGCTGTCTATACCAAGAGCTTTTCGATCTCGAAATTGCTCGAAGATCTTTTTGAAATAGATATAAGCGAAATTCCAGTTTTGGGCAGCGTTGAAGTGCGAAATCTTGCCTTCTCTTTGTCCACGGGTGATGTTTATACGCCAGTGAGGGTATTGGATATTGGCTCGGAATACATATTTGATATACCGTATCGTAAAGGACTGAAGGTAATATAATAAAAACAATAGAGCCCTCCAAGGCATTTTTTTAATACCATGGACTGGTGGGGCATTTGCCCCACTGGGCACCTTCCTCTGCCCCACCACTGAAGAAAAAGAATGGCCTATTACCCCAAAGCCAGGGCCCTAGGATCTGATCGTATTGAGTAAATAGGTTTAACATTGAAAAGAAGTTTAAAAAACAAAATTTGTTGGTGAACATACTTAAACTTATGTTGTGTTTGAATGTTTAGAGTGTTTAGCATGCAATTTATTACAAATTTCACCATTAAAGCTTTGTTTTGAGAAGCTGAGATTTTTTTAAAATGTGTTCTTAGAATGCAGAAAATGCTATTTCAGAGACCCAAATAGGTCTAGATAGGGAGAAATTGGCCCCGTTCTCATTGGATTTTTAACAATATTTTACTTCATGCTTGTGATGTTCCTCTGAGTGTATATCCACACCGATCAAGCTTAGAATATGCCTGGCCACGGTGGGAATCGAACTTACGACCTTTGGAATACCAGCCCAATACTCTGCCAACTGAGCTACGCGGTCAGGACGTCAAGTTGGCAAAGCATTGTGCTAGTATTCCAAAGGTCGTAGGTTCGATTCCCACCGTGGCCAGGCATATTTTTCAAGCTTGCCCGGTGTGGATATACACTCAGAGTAACATCACAAGCATCGTATTCACCTGAGTACATTACACCAACACAAAGAAAAAATTAATCTTTCACTCTTTAGTTTTACCCTTTTTCGGTGGCTGACCGGGTTCTGATCGACTTGTAAAACATAACCTCTGGTCTCCCTTACAGGTTTCCTTCGAAATTCCTATCGCAGAGATGTACGTCGCAACTTCGATTTTCATTTCCCAAACTCTCATAACTCTCACGATTCCGCAAAGCGGCGAACTCAACCTCGGTCATGTTATACGCGAATTCTTGCCTAACAGCAACCTCATCGTAACAACAGGAAGCGAAACAAAACTTAAGAATTGGCCACCATTTATTCCCGATCCACTGTCGATTGCGCTGGAGTATTTCCATTTGGAAGCCACCAAACCGACCGGTAGTTGGGCTTTAACGAAAATGAACATGGAACTTAAGATGGCGGATGTACTTTCCCTGTTTGATAATAAAATCAACATCAACAATCTTGAGTTGGACCTGAACTATGTAAAAGGAAAAGACACTTCCTCGACCAAAGGCGTTATCTTAGGACGCGTTGCCTTGGGTCCCGAAACTAGTCAGTCCCCCAGAGTCGACGTCCGTATTCCGTTTCCGTTTAAAAATAATGAGATATCCTTCACCTTTACTGACTTTAATGTTAAAAGTGTCGTCGAAGCCTTGGCGGGTCCTAACGTTTTCCCGAAAGATTTTCCGGAGCTATTTGAACATATAGAATTAGATAAAATTGCTCTAGCATTTGATGATAAGGGATCGGTTAAAACCGTTTCGGTAGATGCTAGTATACCAGGACTATGGCGTATTTTTGGACAGTTTTCGATAGGGAATGTGGGAATACATTTTGAGTATGGAAAGAAGACGTCTAGTGGTGGTGACGGTGATGGTACTGATACTGGTACTGATGGTGATGGTACTGGTGGTGACGGTGCTAGTGGTGATGGCACTGGTGGTGATGCTGTTCGTATTTCTGACAGTTTAAACACGAATCTTTTACACACTGGCGAATCCACCACCCAAAGCACGTGGCGTCTTGTAGTGAGAGGGCAATTGTCATTGCAACATGCACAATTACGATAGAGGCAGATTTTGGAACCGATCTCCTCAGCTTCTCTGCTGAGGGTGCCGATTGCTCCATTTCTATTAGCGACATCTTGGAAAAGATTCATCTAGACGGCAAAATGCTACCGTCCATTATTTCCGGGTTTACGATCTTCAATCCGAGAATCCGTGTTTTGTGGCAAAGAACAGGAGACGAAGACAATGCCGGTTCAAAGTCACTTGCATTCGCAGCAACGACAAGTCTTTTTTACCAGAGTGAGGTATGTACGAAAGAACATGCGTTGTTATTTGTTTTGAAGATGAACTATAATCTACGTTGTTATTTATCCTGAAGATGACTCACTACAATCTAGTCGAAAGGTAGATTCAATAAATCAAAACAAAATGTTATTCGGAGTTACTGTTCTTTTGTATGTTATTTGTTTTGGTTTGTGGAAAATACGACGTATATTTATTTTTGGAAAGCAAAATTGAAACCCACCTTCATGATATTTTTATAAATTTAGCAATTACTAATGCACTATAATGATCAATTAACGATGAAAGCACGTCAAGTTTCTTCTTCCTTAGGTCGAACTTGCATTGATACAGAACGGTGAAAAAACTGCAGTGGTCGCTGGTTTCGCTGTAGAAGCCAAGTCAATTTCGGAAATAAGCTTCTTGAGTTCGCTACATCTGTCAGATCTTGCGGTGGTGTATGTCAGTCAGAGGATACCTATCTCACCGTACGAGTTCCTTAATCCATCGTTCAAACGTTATATTCAAGGAGGGTCGGATGGCGAACCAGAATTTCAAGGAATCACGATCTATGCAAGATTTGTCCCGAAAGCTGACAATATGCTGGGGCATATGTTACGTAAAGGTAGGTGATAGTAACCTAATAATACAAGTAATAGTAGTACGAAAATAATGCCTTTCTTTTTTCACCGATGCTACAATTTATTTCAAGCATCCATGTGTGTGTAGATATACAGCGTGAATAAGATCCCACACGCCCTATGGCAATTTCGTTCAAGAAATAAACTTTCTGTGTTGCTGTAATCAAAACAAAAATCATGATTACTAGATTACATTGATATCGAAGGAACTAGATTCTGTTCCGAAATATTACATACTTGAACCGACCTGACCGCGTAGCTCAGTTAATGGCAGAGCATTGAGCTGGTATTCCAAAGGTTGTCGGTTCGATTCCCACCTTGGCCAGGCATATTTTTCAAGCTTGCCCGGTGTGGATATACACTCAGAGTAGCATCACAAGCATCAACCTCCGAAAATGTTGAGCTTGTACTCTTTTATTCTTCATGAGATTATGATCGACTCCAAAAGTGATCTACCGAGCAAATAAACAGGGCCGCAGGTTTCGGGTTTTATTCAACTGTGAACTTTAGAGTTGAATGAAAACCTCTCTCTTGTCGTTTATCTAACAGTCCAACTAATCCCATTGTATTAACAGGAGTGGAACAGGACAGCGAGCTGAAGTCAGAAGAAGGCAAAGAGCCTGAAATAATAGTGAAAATATCCTTTCCGGCACTCATATTTGAGTTGGAGGTGAAACTGGGCTCGGAAGGCCTTCAAATTGGTAGCATTTCTGGATGGAGATTTACTTACATGAAGTTAATAATCAGCAAGCAACTAATTGGTTTGTCGCTCAAATGCAAGATCAATTTGGATAGCAAAAATCCAGATTCCATTGACTCCACTTTTACTGGCCAAGTTTCGGTAAGTTTAAATACGTTAAGGTTATACGAAAATTGAATGAGAAATTGGCAAACCGGCGTTTGTCTTGCTTTCCTTGGCAGAGTAAAGCGAATGCGCAATCGGCCTTAATCAGGTTTCCGTCCAATTTCCAGGAATTTCAGTTACAATGCTGGACGTTTTATATGTTGTTTATATCATCATTACGAGTGTTCAGCATTATTTTCGAACTCCTTCAGAAACTGTGTTATACACAAAATTTAGTTAAATATTCTTGGTTAAGGTTAAGACGGGACTTCTTATACAAACAAAAATCTAAACATTTTTGCTTAACTCGCCTTTATTTTAGCATTTGATTTTTGGATAAATGCTTGGTGGTTCTGATAAAATGGTCAACTTGTTTTTACTGGTACTAAAAGCACATTATCGTTTTTTTTATATCCACAGTTCACGTTCACCGGTACAATCACTATATCTCTTCTCTGGGAAGGCGAGTGGAATAATCCTTTTCGAATAAGTAAACGTTTAACCGTCCGTCGTTTGGGCTTGGCTCTTGGCATAAATGTCGTTGATTTGGTACCGAGTTTTGGGATAACGGGTGCAATTAGCGTGAAGGTTCCCAGTGCGGCTGGAAAAGATCCAATCGATGTCAATCTGACCCTATGTATCGATCCATCAACGCCAGATAAAACCGTCTTTGAACTTCATTTTACTCGACTTCTTCTCGAAGATGTGATCAACCTGTTTGCTGGTCATCCAGTAAGCTTGCCTCAGAAGTTGGCGGAGGTTGGTTTCCCTGACGAGGTTCAGATATATTTCTCTCTTGCAGGGAATCCAGATTGTTTCGGTAAAAGGTAATTAAGTCCAGTTAGTAAAATTAAGTGAGTTTTATATTATTATATACATGGAGTAATACCTTCAGTCATATTCATGGTCGGACTTCAATCAATGTTATTTCTTCATTAGCATATTTAGATGACAATAAAATTATGATTTTTTTGTGTGTTCGTGTAATGTACTCAGGTGAATATGATGGTTGTGATGTTACTCCAAGTGTATATCCACACCGGCCAAGCTTGGAAAAACTCGAACCGACCTGACCGCGTAGCTCAGTTGGCAGAGCATTGGGCTAGTATTCCAAAGGTCGTAGGTTCGAATCCCGCCGTGGCCAGGCATATTTTTCAAGCTTGGCCGGTGCGGATATACACTCAGAGTAACATCACAACCATAATAAAATTATGACCGAAATATGTTTGTGCACAAAACATGAATATATTATCATTGACTTTTTCTTTCTTTTCTACAGATATGATCCTGGTGTCGAGATCCATGGCACCCTCCAGATTCCCTTTCTCAAAATTCGAGCCCGTATCGATCTCAGTATTGCGCTTCCACCAGCACCATTTCGACTTGACGCGAATCTGGAGCTAGATCCAATCATCTACCTTGGTGGTGTTCTTAAGGTGGTCGACGCTGATACTGATACCAAAGGAGCACACTTGAAAATGCATATAACTGAAAAGTTATCTGATTTGATGATTGATGGTTCTTGCAGGGTAAGCTAATTAAGCCACTAATTAAGCCACTAATTAAGCCACTAATTAAGTAACTAATTAAGCCACTAATTAAGTCACTAATTAAGTCACTAATTAAGCTACTAATTAAGCTACTAATTAAGTTACTAATTAAGCCACTAATTAAGTCACTAATTAATTACAACTAATCACGTAACTATTAAATTAAATATTAAACTAATCAATTAACTAGTTAACACAACATATCTCTTATTTTCCACAGATTGAAATCTTTGGTGCTATGATTTCGGTGAAACTGCAAATAAATAGTCAGAAATTCTTCTTCGATGGCAAACTGAATCTATGGAACTTGTTCCAAGTATATCTCTTGGTCGATATCTCGATGGTCAACAAAACAACAAGCGTCCATGTCGTTGGGGAAATGCAGAACGACCTGTTTGCCAAGATCAAGCAGAAAGCCACTCAAGTGATCCGAGCTGGCGCTAGAGAAATAAACGCAAAGATTGAAGGCGCTGTCCAGAAGATCGACCATGCTAAAGACGAGGTTAATAGTCTTCAAAATTCCATAAAGTAAGTTTACGTTGTTGCATTACCACACTATGACCAAGTACATGTTTACATCAAGTATTACTTATATTACCTACTCATCCCTAGACTATTTATCTTTACAACAATGAATTGTGATATTACTTTCTTAACTGTGTTTACCCTAACCCACCCTGTCAACTTTTTCCCTGTGGGAGGAAACCGGAACACCCGGAGAAAACCCACAACTTTCGGCAGAGCCTTGGCGGACTCTTTTCACATGAGTCCGTAGCGAGAATCGAACCCATTGCTTATATTTGAGAACGCATTCGTGACACCGAAATACCTTAAGTCCTTAACAATAATTTTATGTCTTAGTTACCATGGACAAAAGATCGAGGAAGCGAAAAGAGAGTGCCGCAAAGCACCATGGTACAAGAAATATATCTGTGTTGCAACTGCGGGTAAACTAATCTATCATGGTGGTATTATTGCTGGATTGGAAATTGCACGCGTCGCTGCTGACGCAGTTCTGGATGCCGCCAAATTCTTTTTGAAAGGTGTGCAAGATGTTATCAAGGTCAGTGCTTATCATTTTAAGAAGTTATTATTTATTTATTTATTGGATTTACAATCATACAAAAGTGCTATAAAATACGTAAGTTAATGTAACAGGGATTGAAGGTATGGTTAACAGGACACGAGTCCCATGTGAAGACGAACCTGATACAAAACAACAAGTAGGCATACATTAAAGCACGGCGCTAATTAAAGACAGGGACTAGAGCACTATTTACATAGCTATATAAAAATTAACAGGTTAGATTATGAGCAACAGCTTAAGTTGAAAGAAGAGCACTAGGTTTTCCAAGTGCGCATTCTGTTAACATCGAAAGAAGAGTCTAATTGAGAAGAGTAGTGAATATTGAGCTGGAGCTCAAAGGATGAAACAGATGAACTGTTACGAATGATCGGAGAAAGATATGATTGTTCCATAGAAAGACAATTGGTTAAAAGACGTTTCTAAAAAGAGAGGTTTTGCACGTATATTGACCTGAAGAAAGTTGTCATTGCTTGAACGGGTGCGAGATCAGCGATTAGAAAAAAAGGTGACAAAAGAGGAGATATCTAGATCGTAGAGGCCTTGTTTGCATTGGAAAAAAAAGATGAGATCCTTTATTTCAAGCCAGTAAGATACAGATAATAAGTTTATTTTTGAAAGATATAACCATTGAGGAATATTTATAAACTTGCTCAAAAATATATAAGTATTTTATCTATATTTCTGATTGAATCAGTGACCGTTCTTATTTTCCTGACGCAGGTTGGGGCAGAAGTCATTACGTCGCTGGTCAATGCGGCATTGAGTATTATTGATATTCGTTATGTCAGATTTGAGGTTCAAATGGATGGTGTTACCAAGATGTTCGATTTTGTAAGTAACACAACTGACTTTTTTTGGACTGGGTAGTTCTATCAGTTCTCTACAGTTCTCCCTAGAGGTCCAGTTACAGTAAAGACGTTTGTTTATACATATGCCTGTAGTTAACGTTGTTTTAGTATACAGAGGTATAGAATAGAACAAAGGTAATTCAGCTTTATATTGGAATTATCTACGTGGATGAATAACTCTTTCTGAATTTTATTAGAACTTTTATACATAATTCTAATGCTTAGTTACCTAACTTACCTTTGTCCTATTTTGTGCTTCTGTTAACTAAAACGATATTGTAACCAAGCATGCGACGCCAATTTGTTGACATTTAAATCGTCTGGCGTTACACCAAAAAAATTACAAACAGGAGCGAAACTTGAGGGGGGTATGGGGGGGGGGACCCCCCAAAATACGAATCCTCCCGATTGGCAGGGCAATCAAAGATTTTAAATGATAGAATGTAGAGTTATTAAGTAACTTATTACAGCTAGCAAACAATAAGCAATTCGTATGCATGTACATTGGCATCGGCAGTTCAATATACACGTAACTTAGTGATGTATTGTATTACTGCTATTAGCGCTGGCGCTGCAGGGCATCGTTGGTTTTGGCAGGGCAATTCAGCCAGACACCCCCCGTTCTGTTCTACACTTGTATAATGATAAGTCATTTGAATTCCTGGTGTTGTATTGGTGAGCAGTTGCTCAGGTTTGCAGCAGGCATGTGTTCCTTTAGGGGGCCAAGTTTAATAATTTTGCTCAAGGGTTTTTATGCAGATTGTGTTTCGTCTATTGTCTAATCTTTCACAACCCGCCATCACCAATGCTTCGTTGTAGGAATGGTCGGGAAATATGATACGCATTACTCGATTTTGCACTCTTTCCTGCAGCACTACACTCCAACTCCGTGAAATTCACAGTGAAGTAAGGCGTTAATGACAGTGAAGTAAGGCGTTAATGACAAGTATTTTTCGTTGTTTCTAGAAAGCAGAAATTGAAATTCTTGGCAAATGGACCTTCACTCCACATTTCCACATCGACTTCAGCAGCTCAGAGAGTGCCAATGAGGGTATCGACTCGGCTGGCGAGTCAATCGGTAAAGATACCATGGACCAAGTGAAGAAGTAAAGCAAGTATATCGGGAATTTCATTATTACATGGTGGTATATAAAATGTATATTTCATTATTTAATCGATGTTTCTTTCATGAAAAGAGTGTATTATTTTATTTATTATTAAATGAAGAGTATATTAATTTACTAAATATATTTTATGTTAATTTAAGTATTTATTTTAAGAATATTATATATATTCATTTTAAAATATTTGTCCGAAAACAACTTAACGTTTACTTAAAACACAAGTCAATCTAAACTGCATTTAAAACATAACTGTAACATTATACCAGATATAGCTCTATCAGTACCAAACTGTTCTCCCAGGATGTCGAATACCCACCGGTAAGAACGTATGCACCAAGTTGTTCCAGAATTGCATGCAACTATGAAACTAGTTGTAACAAGGTTGTTGTCAAGCCGATATCAGGATGTGTTCGCACTGCTTGTTCCCAGTTGTTGTGACAAGTCTGGAACAATTAAATTACATATACATGTACATGTACAAGGTTAACAGATTTTCTGCAAATTGTTCCAACAAGACTGTTCGTAACAAGTTGCCAGAGCTGTTTGTATAACAAGTTTCTACGCGAGCTTGTCGTCAATTGTGATCAACTTGTTAAACAACTTGTTACATGCAGACAATAGCAATGGAATAAAACGTATAGTACAATTGCACTCTTTGTGTTTTCGATAAATCGCATCCCTCAAAATGCTTCTCATATGAATCTATTAGTCTATTTTGGTATTATATAAAACAAATAATGAATGTTTCTTCGTGCAATGGTAAGAATATATTCATTCGGTGAAAGATGGAATGTTCCATTCAACTCGGCTGTCGCGCGCCTCGTTGAATGGAACATTCCATCTTTCACCTCATGAAAATATTCTTACCATTGCACTCATAAACAGTCATTATTTGTATAATAATCACTCCGCGTATTTTCTGTTCTAAAATGTTGTATTTCGGCTGATGAGAAAGATCGTGACTCAATCTTTACGACCGTTACGATCATATGGAAGCCAGTATTTATTATAGATCGTGGCATGTTACAGTGTTATAACGCTATAACAAGTTGTAACGAGCTTGTTGTCAAACCGATATCAGGATGTGTTCGCACTGCTTGTTCCCAGTTGTTGCGACAAATCTGTAACAAGTTGTTATATCACCTTGTCACAAGGTTGATGACGGTAACAGACTTGCTACAAGTTGTTCCAACAAGACTAATACAGGCTGTTCGTATCGAGTTGCTACGAGCTTGTTGTCATCAACTTGTTAAACAACTTGTTACATGCAGACGATATAAGACTTGTTGGAACGACTTGTCGCGAGTCTGTTGGCCTCATCAACCTTGTTACAAGATGATAACAACTTGTTCCAGACTTTTCAACAACTGGGAATAAGCACTGCGTCTGCGAAAACATCTTGTGTAAAGCATCATACATCTTGAATAAATCGGTGAAAAGCTGTACGTGACATTTCTACGCGTGTTAAGAGCCATTCATTACTGCTCCAGTGTGACAGTGTTACTACCAGAAGACCGCGACAATGGAAGAATTTCTATATGTACTTTGAGAACAGTGACTGGTTTACTAAAGTTCATTTACTAAACTTTCCATTAATGTTCAGGATTAACTTAAATTACGGCACTAATCTCTTCGGCGTTTTTAATTTGCATTTTTTGTATTTTCAATAAGTCTAAAACTTAATCCAGGATTAACTTATATTTTGTTACTGCGAAGTTAAATTAGTTTGCATTATGTCAGACACAATACTTGATGCTTTCGCTGACCGGAAAATGTTTCAGAAATGGCTCTTAAAAGTCGATGATAAATTTCACGAATTCTGAACCACAACTCGCAAGATATTATCTATGTGCATTCCGCGGTGTTGTTGACACAAATTGAGGTCCCGTTTATATTTCGTTTAAGACTAATGTTTAATAATGAAATAATGAATATTTTAAAAGTGGACCACAAAAAAATTTGAAATTCAGATTAAAAAGTTCTGCCACGGACTAATTAGGATCTGATTAAAACCGCACAACCAACTCTATAGTGAGAATTTATTCAACTTGTTTGAAAAGCGATTTTGTCTGGAGGCAAAATCTGAACCGAAAGTCATCGTTGAACAAAGACTGTCTGTCAAGCTTAACGGCTTTTGAGGTGAATTTGGGACTAAAGTATCGAAAATTAGATTCATATTGTATTCTGCGTTACATACGTGGGCCGTGTTATTGACCTCGTTATTAACAATTTTTTAAGTCTTTACTCTTTGGCCCGCGATAAGAGTGCGATTTGGATTATCGAGCTGAAATTTTAAGAAGCTACAGTTGACGGAGTCAACACAGTACTAGGCTACAGTTCCAGTGCATTATTTGTGCTCTTTATTCTACGAAATATGGTGGTATTTTCCGCTCAAAGCGTATGTAGACATTAAAGAACGAAAAGCTGATGTGCTAGGCTGCCAAAATATGGACTTATCTCGATATGGGACCGGCGTTCTAGCGTCTGCAATCGCTGAATTTGTGAGCAGTTTCTATTTCGTGTTTTGTTCCTGTGTTGCGACAACGTTATGGTCAACGCATACAGAATCATCGATTCTCTTCATTGCTGTACTGTCCGGGCTAATTCTTGCCGTGCTCAGCTACTGCAGTTGTGAAATTACAAAAGCCTGTGCGAATCCCGTGGTAACTACAGCACTTTATCTAACCCAGCGTCTCGATAGACTCAGATTCTTGCTATTTATTCCAGCGCAAGTTTTTGGAGGTTTGTGAATTACGCTCTCGTCAAACGCGAGAGTTGATGAGAGTTGACAAGCGAGAGTTTCGGCATGTGAGTTTCCTCAGTTCTCGTGCCCCGGTCAAACGAGAACAAGAGTTGCATGAGAGTTGAAGAGATGGACTTTACCAGTCAAACGAGCAAAAACTCTCGCATGAAAATTTGAGCCAGTTTAAAGTTTATCGCGGGCAAACATGAGCGAGAGATCGAGGTGCATGCAACACTCATCAACTTTCCGATCATCCTGGACCTTGTAAAAGCCCCGCCAAAGACGAGCAAGTTTTAGCCCTTAATTGACACGTTCCCTTGACACGTTTCCGGCCTTGTTGTCGTTGTGTGCATGTTAAGACAGCTTTTTGTTTGCCAAAACCAAGCCTATTTCTTCTACACTTGTCAAGTTATCCTTGGGAGCCGTACACGCGAACACATTTTTAATTCCTTGTCTTTCAAGAGCTCGCATGCATGAACAAGGAACAAGGCTCTTTATAGCAAGGAAAAATTGTCAATAAATGTTTTCCCCCGCGCCGGCACACGAGCAAATAAAACTTGTCAAGGAAAATGCTTGTCTCGGTACAGACTACTGACAGGTCTTAATTTTGTCACACTTAAGATAAAGCTGGAGTCATATGCGGCAACAAAATTTCCCCCGCATCTTGCAACAAATTCTGATTTTAACGAATGTTATTAACTTACTAAATATGTTCACACAGATCAAGTCCAGAACACGAGGCAACATTCGTGAAGATTTCTAACTAACATGCATTGAAATCAGTTTTTGTTGTCAATATTCGTTTACGGTTCCGAATTAATTATGTCTGCAATATCTTAGTTGAATTTCTAGATATAAGAAGGGTCACTTAATTACTTCTGACATTTCAATGCGGTCGAAAATAACAAAAAAAACCTCATTATTTATGAATACTTTCTGGCAAAAGCCGTTTGAAGATCGTCCATCTTTTGATACACGAACAAGGCTTATTTTTTCGCTCTTGAATTTGAAGTGTGTGCATGGATTTGGAAAGGGAATGACAATATAAGGTCGATTAATTATTGTATGGGGTAGTTAACGCTTGATTGTTTAACTGTCTATATGCATGTTCTAGACGTGGCGACTGCTCTTGCATAACAAATGAATTGCGGGTCGTTCCAATATATTCACAATTTTAATTACCCGCGGTTTTAATCTTGTTTGCACCAAGGAAGATAGGATCATAGGGACTGGCTCGATTTATACTAGTGAGTTTAAGATACCCCGGTTTCGGTGTACGCGTACGAGTAGTGTCATCTTGTTTACTAGTTTTTACTGATGTCTGTAATTCCATCATACTTTTTTTCTGTCAGTTTCTCGCAATGATAGACATACAATGATATAATGCGGAAAATGTGCACCTTAAGACATTGGCAATAAAAAATTAGTATGTCTCATTCAAAAGAACTCTTAAAATTATATATTGAACTCTATTACCGATTTGTCATATCTTGCTTAGTTCTCGAAATATTTAGACCGAAATTAATGAGCTTTGCGCCATCTTGGAAAAATTCTTTACCTCATTAACTATGGTTTTGATGACGTCAGGAGTTGGGTTAACCACATAAAACTACTCGAAAATGACCGAATAACAAACCAAAATTGTTTGAAATGTTTTTAATCATTTCTAAATTTCTGACAGCAACCAGAAACGAAGTTTTGGACCCGTATTGATCGCTTACTCCCAAGATAAAAAATTAGCGTGACCCCTCTCTTGACGTAACATGCATATTCTCAATAATCCAAGATGGCGAACAGCTCACGTTTTTCAGTCGAAATATTTTGAAAACTAAGCGAGATATAAACAATCTGTAACAGAGTTTAATATATAGTTTTAAGAGTTCTTTCAAATGAACTAAACTAATTTTTTATTGCCAATGTCCTTTAATTACGAGTAAAGGTACAGACATCGACGAAAATATTGCTAACCAAAATCAGTCATGCTACCCGTACAACGAAACCGGGGTATCTTAAACTCACTAATAAAGACGTATAGACCGATTAAAAAATAGTTATTCTTTTTTCTTCCCTTCAACTCAAGGTAGTCATTGCCGCCGGCCTATAAAATACTTCAAGACTAAGAAGAATATAAATATGATACCATGTATTCTCTTCGATTAAATGTTAAAAATACCGGAGTTTCAGACAAAATGTCCAAAGCATCCAAAGCTCACGGTTTACTAAAGAGTCTTCAGGTTTCGAGGCTGAACGCCAGGTCTTAAAGGTGAACTTATAAATCTCACAGTATTAACGCGATTCAGCTTAGGCCTTAGCTCTCAGTTAGAAGTAACTGAGGACAATTTACACTTGCAAATCTTGGCTTATTTTGCTGCGATTTTCTTCCTTTGATGATGTGAAAGAGTAGTCGAATTATGAATGTCCTTTACATACGTACATTCATAGCTCATCCATTCGTTGACATCCTTCAGAAGAGGAAAATCGCAGCAGAAATTGGTGCAAGTGTAAACAGGCCCTCAAGGATTATTAGCACATCCCGTGTACTAATAATAATTCTCTACTCCAGGATTGACAGGGGCAGCGTTTCATTATGTTGTCACGCCAAAGTCAAGTCGGGATACTGAAAATGGAACTTTTCTATTCGAAGAAGATTTGCAACTCATACAGGGCTTTGTGATTGAATTCGTCCTGGCAGTTTTGTTTATTTTTGCTTTGTTTACCGTTTTCTTTACACGCTGTACGGAATGCTGCGAAAGAAGAAGTGGAAAGTCGTGGAAGATAGGATGCGTTTACACACTGTGCGTCATGATTGATGTATGTTTAAACTAACTTTCATTTTTATACTGGATTGCTCTGTCAGTTCTAAACTGTTCTTCCTAGAGGTTCAGTAAGAATCATCTCTTATTGATCCAATGTTACTACAGGAGGAAACCTAAGCTAAACTAACTTTATTTATACTGGATAGTTCTGTCAGTTCTAGTAAACTGTTCTTCCTAGAGGTCCAGTAAGGATCATCTCTTATTGATCCAGTGTTACTACAGGAAGAAACCTAAACTAAACTAACTTTATTTATACTGGATAACTCTATCAGTTCTAAACTGTTCTCCCTAGAGGTTCAGTAAGGATTATCTGTTTATACTGGATAGCTCTATCAGTTTTCTCCACGCTATTCACATGTTGAAACCTGGAAAATAGTGTGATCTTGGGATTTGTCTTAGCAAGATTGATGAACTTACTTTCAATTTTTGCCACATACGTTAGGGAATACGTTAAGGAATCATTATATATTCTACTTCCTTATCTGTCATTTGAGATATGCATGTAACATAATGCATATTACTCTGTTTTATTAATTTACATGGTGTTTCCACAAACAATAGTATTATACTCTGTTTCAGTTCCCGTACACAGGCGGAGGACTGAATCCATCGTTGCTCCTTAGCCAGGCCATTCTGCGCAACCAGTGGGGAAACTACGACCGAGTGGATCATTGGGTAAATATGCCTTCCAACTATATTTCCTAGAGGTCCAATAAGGATCATCTCTTATTGATCCAGTGTTACTACAGGAGGAAACCTAAACTAAGCTAACTTTGGATAGCTCTATCAGTTCTAAACTGTTCTCCCCAGACGTCGATCCAGTAAGAATCATCTTGTTGATCCATTGTTACTACAGGAGGAAACCTGACATTCTTGTAGGGTCAAACTGATGCTGTACCTCCTGATCTGTATAGGTCTACTGGACAGCTCCAGTTTTGGGTGGTGCGTTAGGTGGTATTCTATACGAAATTTGGACATCAGCAGGCGAACTGAATGATGTAGAGCGATATTGTCATTTCAAACGAATGGTCGCTTTGTTAGTCGTACTTATCCTCGTTATTACCTTTGCTATTGTCGTTACCGTCGCACTTTGAGGGGAATTTCGGGGGAAATTGAAGGGACTTTGTATTATGTTTGTATAATATACGTACTATATTATAATGTTTGGTAAATAAAATTGTCGTGAACGCGAAGGAGGTTATGTATCTAACAGAAAATCCTACTTAGTTTCATACACTTCAAGGTCATCAGTTTATTTTACAGTAGTTGTTGTTTTATCGTATTCTTGTATAGTTCTTATAAAAATGACATGTAAATTGTGATAATTTAACTAAACGAAAACAGAAAGAAAACTAGTATTAAAACTAAAGATTTAAGTCAAGAGCCGACTATGACATTACCAGATTCTGGCCGCCAAGTATTTCACATTGACTAATTGAGTGTTCTATCTTTATCTGTTTTATATGGGCTTATTAGTTGAATGATCTAACGTTAACTATAGCTCATTGTGAAGAACGGCAGAAAATACTCGACGTTTCCAATGAATACACTTCGTTTGAAAGTTGATAGAAAACACTTTAAAACTTCTATCATATCTCATAGTTTGAGTGACTCTGAAAATGTTTCTAATTGTACATTGTTCTAGTAGCTCTAATATTGTTCATACCCCCAAATTAGCGTTCGTACGCGTGACAAAGTCAAGTTCAACTATGTGAAATAGCCGTCTGGTCCTTCCATCTGTCTTCACGTTCATGCATTGTATGCAAATCAGTGTTCACTGATTGTTGAGATCTATTTACACTCTGTATATGCAGGCCATCTTATTTTCACGGGAGCCACGCGACTAAATGAACGGCCTCGTCCGTGGGCAGCTCGCTCAGCTTCGGTTGAAAACAGAGTAAAATTGACAGCAATATTTAGCAGATTGAGGGGTATTGAATGGGCCTCATGATCCCCTGTACCCCCATGTGTTGCGTAATTCTACCTTTATGATCACCAGGCCCGAGAGAGACCAGGCTTTTCATCAGTTGAGATACTACATCTCATTGACCTTTCTCTTGCAATATATATTGCTTGTGCTTTTAATTGGATAGCCAACACTAATAAAGTGATAATAACCTTTGTACCAAACAAAGAGACGGAAACTTTATTGTCTTTATTGTGGTATTTTGGACAAAGACGTTTTTATACGGAGATATTTCTTGTTAGTTCTGCAGCTGGCATGACAACCCCAGAAACGTCTACTACACTGCATTTTCTAAATATTATAGTTGAAAGGCTTTACGTTTATATGTACAAGATGATTGTCCATTCAATTAACCATAGAAAATGGTAAAGTTAAGGTCATGGAAGTTGGTCAAAGGGACAAAGCATAATTGACATGAATTGTCTAGAATGGCGCCATCTATATATATACTAGCAACGGTTCTGTGAACAACTATGTCTGATATACTTTTTTATAGTTTGTAGTATAATGCCATATTTATACACATAGGGCAGATTATGCGTAACTGCGTCAACGAACCAGCTAGTCTGATGGGGACGTGATCTATCTGACGCATTCATACACAGACGAACGATCAGACAAACCGTTACAATCCCTGTCGGGACAACTGACCATATCTTTTCTTTGCCAAAGTTTCATCCATACGGATAAGAGGTCCGTTTCAAATATAAATTTGGTATTTGCGCAACCGTTAACGCGGCACTTCGGGTACCGTTGACAAGCTATGTTTCTGAGTTCCAATATACCCTCCTCCGCAGCTAGTTTCGTTACTGTGGGCGCGAAATATTTTCGCGTGTAACTATAAGCGTTGGCCATAATCGTTACTAAAAATAAAAAATTTTAAATATTTGGGCTTTTTTCAAATATACCGTTTGCGCGAATTGGGTAGAGTCCATGGGTAGAGTCCTGCAGCGCGTATCAGCAGAGTCAGGTTAAATTAAAGTAAACCGGTCCTCGATTAAAAACACTTCCAATCCGGCAATTCAGTGTTATGTGCGTGCGTGTCCCAGTTTAATCGTTTATTAACCGTGGTTAATCCCCTCGCTTAATCATAATTACATAAAATATTACATTCTGGCCAGTCATGCGTTATGAATGGTTGGGAATCGCGAAGCGAAACCACTCAAAAACGTCTTACAACTAATAAAATTTGTACTTTTTAACGACTTTTTAAGAGTCATGCCTTTTCCGCGCGCTCTCGCCCGACTTCCGGTTATCGCCCTTATAAGGATAATGTACCCTTATATGGCATTCAAGAATAATTTCTAATTTCGTGTATTCTTTGGAGAGTTGTTCGTCGTTTTAAATTGTCCGATGAAAAGCTTGTTTTATTTTGATTCTCTTATACTTATGTAAAGGAAATCGCGACAATTATGGGCTGCTGTTCTGTGAGGAAGGCCATAGGCATACTACAGGTCTTACAATTGGTGAGTAATCCAATATAATGCTGTTGTTCTACTGATATTCTATTGCTCGAACGTTGCCCTGAATTTTAAATCATTCTGAAACATTCGCTTGTTCGAGTTTATAGTTTGTAACATATTCTATCCTGCTATTTTTTTTAAGTAACTTCGTCTGAACGCCCATACTAATATAGCAATAGTTTATTTATAACGAAAATAAAAACAATATCAATCCCAAGGTCAATAGCTCAACATTTAATAGCACACAGTGTGCATTTAAAATTCATATAACTTCTTCAATTCTTTTTCATTCTATAAACAATTTCATCTTTTCAGATTGCAACAGTCGAACGTCAAGTGTTCGATTTTCTTGGATTCATGTGGGCGCCGATTTTGGGAAATTTTGTTCATTTGTGTTTTGTTGTGATCGGTCTATTCGGCGTTACACAATACAGGTCGAAATATGTGATTACGGTTGGTCTAATATAAACTTTTATTTTTATCCTGTTAATATTGATAGGTAGCTGTGAATTACAGGTTTGGAACGGCGATTTAAACGCCAGAATTTTGTTGCCCGAAAGGAAGCTATTGAAAAAAAATCGAAACCTTGTATGGTCGCATCATTTATAAGTTGTCAATGGATGGATGTCAATTTAGGAATGTTTTTTTATTGACATAGCCTAACAAATCCATTTATGTTTGTGTTAAGTTTTGCACGTTGTATATCGCTGTTTTGCAAAATATAAACCGTTTACAGACGAGGCTAGGTTTGATTTAAAGTTTTGCATCTGCCTGTTTGGGTTTTTCTCAAGTTTTGTGGCTGAATATTAATGACTTGGGCACCGTCTGGCTTATTTCAATTAAAGTCTTTGGACTCTTTGTTTGCAAATGAAATGCCATAGACCAAAAAATCCATGTTTTTGAGAGATAATCCAAAAAATGCAGGCGGATTTAAACGGTTATCTGTTATGATCCCTTGTCAAAATAATTGCTAGGTAATTGCTATTGTTCGCGTTTTGAAAAAAGTCCACAATGTATGGCACTATAGACTATGCCAGAACCTATTAATATTTTATGCTTGAATGTTATTTTTTGCTTGAGTGTTCTGAACTGTTCTCCCTAGATATTCAGCGAATGTAATCTCTTGTTTATCCAATAAACCTACACGAGGAAACCTAAACTTTATTTATACAGGATAGCTGTGTCAATTGTTTCCCAAGGAGGGCCAGGAAGGGTGTTATCTTATTTGTCCAGCGTTACTATGTACTACAGGAAGAGAGCTGAGTACCTGGGGAAAACCTGTTGTGTTTCGTCGAGTCAAACTGGAAGCACTCTTCTTGCATTTGTCCGAGGCGAAATTATAATGAGACAACATCATATGGCAGGATCGAATTCAACCCTGTTTGCAGAAATGAAACACATGTTGAATAACCACTGTTCAACGAACACAACACATCTGATTATAAACTGTGTTTGTTTTTTCCAGTATGGTGTGTGGTGTCTGGTTTGGCTGGGATTAAATCTGTTTGTTATTTCTCTCTACTTAGAAATAGGAACAGTGACATATGTGAGTAGACCCGGCTGTCATTTTTTAATCTCCATTCCCCTAAAAAAAGGTCTGTTACCAGGTGTTACCAAAATTGTAAAAAGCACTGACACCAAGCCCAGGTTTAGGATTTTAGGATTAGGGCCAGGATCTTAGAATGAAAACATCCAGACATCCCCCATTGAGGAAATTAGAAGTTAATTCCCTACCCGGCCCTTTGGACATACTGGTACATTTTATTATCGCTAGAAGTAGATAACTCTCCTCCCCCACCAGACGGCAAAAATTTTCTCTGTTGGGAAGGGAGTTTGGATCTTTTCTGGAATGATTCAGTTAGAATTAAGATTAGGGTTAAAATGAGGTTTGGGGTTTAGAAAAGGATTAAGGATAATATATCACTGTGTTTAAATTATGGTTTTTTAAATTAAATAAGGAAATTGAAAAAAAGTTGAAATGTTAATAGTTCTATAACAATTTTTAGATGGATGATTGGTTAAGTTTTAAAACTAACCACATCAGTTGGTTTAAAGAAAACGGCATAGGATGTAGCACTCGTCACGTTAATGGCACTTCCAACGGAACCAAGAAGATATCGGTCACTTCTGGATGTGCTCTTGAATTTGGGGTACATATTTGTATTAATTAAGCTAGTGTTGGTTTGACAGCATTACCTTATGTTTTGCAATTGTGATAAATGAAATTCTGTTTTCTTGCAGTATGTAGAAACAATTCAAGCTGGTATCCAGTGTATGTTATCTGTAAGTAAGAAATTATTTTGTGTTTTCACTCCAAGAGCCAACTTGGCACTAAAGCCAATATCATTTCTAACTTAGATTTTAGCATTTCCATTGGCATTTTTCCTTGCCAAGAATCTGCATGAAGAAGATGACAGATGTAAGTTCAAAATATTTTCAGTTAAATTGGTTATATAATGTTATGGTAACTTTATATATATGATGCCACCAATTTTCAGATAAGTCAAATTTCTAGTTACCACTATTCTGATATTGTACCTACTACATGCTTAGTTACCACTGTTCTGATAATGTACCACATGCCTAGTTACTACTGTTCTGATAATGTACCACTTGCCTAGTTACCACCATTCTGATAGTGTACCACATGCCTAGTTAACACTGTTCTGATAATGTACCACTTGCCCAGTTACCACTGTTCTGATAATGTACCACATACCCAGTTACCACTGTTCTGATTATGTACCACTTGCCCAGTTACCACTGTTCTGATAATGTACCACATACCCAGTTACCACTGTTCTGATAATGTACCACATGCCTACTTACCACTGTTCTGATAATGTACCACTTGCCCAGTTACCACTGTTCTGATAATGTACCACTTGCCTAGTTACCACTGTTCTGATAATGTACCACATACCCAGTTACCACTGTTCTGATAATGTACCACATGCCTAGTTACCACTGTTCTGATAATGTACCACATGCCTAGTTACCACTGTTCTGATAATGTACCACATACCCAGTTACCACTGTTCTGATAATGTACCACATGCCTAGTTACCACTGTTTTGACAATGTACTACATGCCTAGTTACCACTGTTCTGATAATGTAAGCAAAGATTAGGATGGAACAAACGGTAACAAGGATTAGAGACATATAATTTGATCTCAGATAAACTGCAAAATTTATTGTGTCTGTTTCAGTTGATTTCATTGGTGGTTTTGACTCTCAATCTGCATACGAACCACCATCAAAGTCATCAAGACTTCACATGGAACCTTTGTAAGTCAACATTCACATAACCACACATGTAAGTCATTCATTCGCATTTCTAGACATACGTAAATATTGTACTGTGTTATTGTTGGTTACTGGTAATTACAGGGTGTAGCAATACCAACAGCAGGAGAATATGTTGTTGACCCAGTAGTCAGTGCATGTACTCTGTGACTGAGGTTTGATTCCTGCAATATACAGTTGTCTGATTATAATTTCACCTCAGTCTGATGTGAAAAGAGTCAAACCACAGTTAATAGAAATTACATGGTTTGGAGACTCGATGATTAAGTACAATATAACTCATTAACCATGTTGGTTTCGGTTTTGGGAATTTGGGCCTATCTCGTCATGTGAGTATTGTATTTTTTCCCGCACAACCAATAGCAATGTTTAAATTGAGCATTTGTTCAAGTTACGGATGGAT